GGTTCTGGCTGAAAGCCCTTGAGAGTATTTTAGGCATGGAAAGCCAAGACACTCTGGAAAAAAAAAAAAATGACCTAAATGAAAGATCTCTTCGAGTGAGATCCCAGTGGAAAGAACAGGTCATCAAAGAAGGAAGTACCTTTCTCTGAAGGGAGGAGAGAACTTCCACTTTGACTATGACCTTGTCTAAATAAGATTGAAGTCAGAGAACTCAAAAGGCCTCCATAGCCTTGGCAACTCATAACAAGAGCCTAGGGAGATTACTGACGCCATAACCAAGAGTGTCAATTTGTTAAGTCAACTACAGGAGTCACTGTGCACTTACTCTACATGTAGGATCTCTGTCCTTAATGTGCTGTACATTGTGAAGTAATGCTATAACTAGTACTCAAACAGTATTTTACACTTTGTGTTTCTGTGTGGGTGTAAACTTTTGAAAGCTTTACTTAATATATGCTAAATTGATCTTCTGTATATAAAGATAATTGAAAATGATTCTTGATGTGAATGGAAGAAGAGCGGGAGAGGGGGAGGGTTGCGGGTGGGAGGGAAGTTATTGCGGGGGGGGGGGCATTGTAATCCATAAGCTGTACTTTGGAAATTTATATTCATTAAATAAAAGTTACAAAAAATAAAATAAAAAAATCAGGCTGTTATATTGCTTTAAACAAATGTTTCATTTCTTATATGATTAAGGGATCAAAGATTAAAGGAAAATGACCAAATATTGGCCATTAATCACACACCGCTGGATCAGAACATTTCCCACCAGCAAGCAATTGCATTATTACAACAAACCACGGGATCTCTGCGGTTGGTTGTGGCCAGGGACCCAGTCCACAGAAAAAGCAGTACTTCTACAAGCTTATCTGACACAACTCTGCCTGAAACAGTGAGTTGCAAATTTGGAAAAATACTTAATTTTGTATTATGCTATTGATTGTAAGAAGTGTAAAGATTTAGCAGGTATCATTTTACTTATCATAACCCAACATGATCATATCTCTAAATGCAGCTTCAAGCTCGCCCCTCCCTCCCTCCCCCCTCCCTTTCTTCCTTCCTTTCTAGATGTATTTATTTGTTTTGCCCTCGGAAACCTTTTATTGAGGTATACAAACTTCATGTATTTCATAAATACAAATTTAAGAACACCTACCACCCTATCCTCCCTCCCAACCACACTCCTACCATTCTTCCTCCTCCCTCTCGTATTCCCATTCTTATTTTTTAGTAAGATCTATTTTCAATTAACTTTAAACAGGTAACATTAACCCTAAACTAAGTACAGAGTCCAACAAATAGTATGAAGAAAAAAAACAACTTCCTCAACAGTCAAGATAAGGGCTGTTCAAAGCCATTGCATATCAAAGTGTCAATTTCATTGCTATAGATTACTTTTTAGGTACTCTGTTAGTTACCACACATCAGGGGGAACATATGGCACTTGTCTTTTGGGGATTGGCTTATTTCCCTAAATATGTTTTTCAGTTCTAATTCTTTGATCCATTTTGGGTAGATTTTTGTGTAAGGTATAAAGTGGGGATCTTGCTTCATACTTCAGCATGTGGAAATCCAGTTTTCCCAGCACCATTTGTTGAAGAGGCTGTTCTTGATCCAGGGATTGATTTTAGCTCCTTTATCAAAGATAAGCTGTTTGTTGAAGCATGGATTGATTTCTAGAGTTCTATTCTGTTCCATTGGTCTACACGTCTGTTTTTGTGCCAGTACCAGGCTATTTTGATTATAACTCCCCTGTAGTAGGTCTTCAAATCTGGTATTGTGATGCCTCTGTCTTTGTTGTATAAGATTGTTTCAGCTATTCAATATCTCCTGTGTTTCCGTATGAATTTCAGTATCATTTTTTCTATATCTGAGAAGAATATCCTGGTTTTTTTAATTTTTTTTTTTATTTGAAAAGAAGAGTTACAGAGAGGCAGAGAGAGAGATCTTCCATCCACTGGTTCACTCCCCAAATGGCTGCAGTGGCTGGAGATGAGCCAATCCAAAGCCAGGAATCAGGAGCTTCTTTCAGGTCCCCCACGTAGGTGTAGGATCTCAAGGACTTGGGCCATCTTCTATTGCTTTCTCAGGCCACAGCAGAGAGTTGGATCAGAAGTGGAACTGCCGGGTCTCCAACCAGTACCCCTGTGGGATGCCAGTACTGCAGGTGGCAGTTTTACCTACTATGCTTCAGTGCCAGCCCCATCCTTGATATTTTAATTGATATTGCATTGAATCTGCAAATTGCTTTCAGTTATATGGACATTTTGATAATATTGTTTCTTCCAGTCCATTGACATGGACGATTTTTCCATTTTTTTCTGTCTTCTATTTCTTTCTTTAATATTTTGTAATTCTGATCATAGAGGTCTTTGCATCCTTGGTTAAATTTATTCCAGAGTATTGATTTTTTTTGTGTAACTGTTTTGAATGCGATTCATCTTACAAGTTCTTTTTCAGCTTTGGCATTGTGTGTGTATATAAAGGATATTGATTTTTAGGTGTTAATTTTATATCCTACCACTGTACCAAACTCTTCTATTAATTCCTGTAGTCTCTTAGTGGAGTCTTTTGGATCCCTTATATAAATTGTGTTATCTGCAAATAGATATAATTTGACTTCCTGTTTCCCAATTCATATCCCTTTGATTTCTTTTTCTTGCCTAATGGCTGTGGCTGAAACTTCCAAGACAATATTGAATAACAGTGGTGACAGTGAACATCCGTGTCTTATTCTGGATCATAGAGGGAATGCTTCCAACTTTTCCCCATTCAATAGGATGCTGGCTATGGGTTTGTTATAAATTGCCTTGATTGTATTCAGGAATTTTTTTTTTTTTTTTTGACAGGCAGAGTGGATAGTGAGAGTGAGACAGTCAGAGAGAAAGGTCTTCCTTTCCTGTTGGTTCACCCCTCAATGGCTGCCACGGCCAGCACGCCGTGGCCGGCGCACCCCGCTGATCTGAAGCCAGGAGCCAGGTGCTTCTCCTGGTCTCCCTTGCGGGTGCAGGGCCCAAGCACTTGGGCCATCCTCCACTGCACTCCCTGGGCCACAGCAGAGAGCTGGACTGGAAGAGGAGCAACTAGGACAGAATCCGGTGCCCCGACCGGGACTAGATCGTGGTGTGCCGGCGCTGCAGGCGGAGGATTAGCCTATTGAGCTGTGGCGCTGGCCAGGAATGTTTTTCTATACCCTGTTACTTGAAGTTTTTATCATTAAAGGATGTTGTATTTTATAAAATGCTTTCTCTGCATCTGTTGAGATAACCATATGGTTTTTGTTCTTCAGTTTGCAATGTGCTATTTCATATTGCTTGATTTGGAAATGTTGAACCATCCTTGCATACCAGGGATAAAATCCCATGTGGTCTGGGTGAATGATTTTTCTGATGTGTTGTTGGATTTGATTGCCTAGTATTTTTTTTCCTCCATTTTGTTGCAAATGACTGGATTTCATTGTTTTTGACTGCTGTATAGTATTCTATAGAGTACATGTCCCGTAATTTATTTTTTATTTAGTAAATATAAATTTTCAAAGTACAGTTTATGGATTACAATGGCTTCCCCTCCATAACTTCCCTCCCACTAGCACCCTTCCCATCTCCCGCTCCCTCTCCCATTCCATTCACACCAAGATTCATTTTCAATTATCTTTATATACAGAAGATCGATTTAGTATATATTAAGTAAAGATTTCATCAGTTTGCACCCACACAGAAACACAAAGTGTAAAATACTGTTTGAGTACTAGTTATAGCATTACTTCACAATGGACAACACATTAAGGACAGATCCCACATGAGAAGTAAGTACACAGTGACTCCTGTAGTTGACTTAACAAATTGACACTCTTGGTTATGGCGTCAGTAATCTCCCTAGGCTCTTGTCATGAGCTGCCAAGGCTATGGAGGCCTTTTGAGTTCTCTGACTTCAATCTTATTTAGACAAGGTCATAGTCAAAGTGGAAGTTCTCTCCTCCCTTCAGAGAAAGGTACTTCCTTCTTTGATGACCTGTTCTTTCCACTGGGATCTCACTCGAAGAGATCTTTCATTTAGGTCATTTTTTTTTTTTTTCCAGAGTGTCTTGGCTTTCCATGCCTAAAATACTCTCAAGGGCTTTTCAGCCAGAACCAAATGCCTTAAGGGCTGATTCTGAGGCCAGAGTGCTGTTTAGGACATCTGCCATTCTATGAGTGTGCTGTATGTCCCGCTTCCATGTTGGATCGTTCTCTCCCTTTTTATTCTATCAGTTAGTATAAGCAGACACTAGTCTTGTTTATGTGATCCCTTTGACTCTTCGTCCTAACATTATGATCAGTTGTGAACAGAAATTGATCACTTGGACTAGTATTAAGTAGAACAAACAAAAAGAAAATACTAAGAGGGATAACGTATTAGGTTGTTCATCAACAGGGCAAGGGCTGATCAAGTCACTGTTTCGCATAGTGTCCATTTCACTTTAACAGGTTTCCTTTTTGGTGCTTGGTTAGTTGTCACCGATCAGGGAGAACATATGATATTTGTCCCTTTGGGACTGGCCTATTTCACTCAGCATAATGTTTTCCAAATTCCTAACAGGGATCACTTTTCAGTTAAAATTTAAACACCTAAGAATAATTGTGTGTCAATTACAGAGTTCAACCAATAGTGCTAGAACAAAAAAATATTAAAAGGGATAAAGTATTACATTGTACATCAACAGTCAGGATAAGGGCTGATCAAGTCACTGTTTCTCATAGTGCCCATTTCACTTCAGCAGGTTTCTCCTTTGGTGCTCAGTTAATTGTTGCTGATCAGGGAGAACATATGATATTTGTCCCTTTGGGACTGGCTTAATTCACTCAGCATAATGTGTTCCAGATTCCTCCATCTTGTTGCAAATGACTGGTTTTCATTGTTTTTGACTGCTGTATAGTATTCTATAGAGTACATGTCCCATAATTTCTTTATCCAGTCTATCGTTGATGGGCATTTGGGTTGGTTCCAGGTCTTAGTTATTGTGAATTGAGCTGTAATAAACATTAATGTGCAGATAGCTTTTTTGTTTGCCAATTTAATTTCCTTTGGGTAAATTCCAAGGAGTAGGATGGCTGGGTTGTATGGTAGGGTTAAATTCAGGTTTCTGAGGAATCTCCAGACTGACTTCCATAGTGACTTAACTAGTTTGCATTCCCACCAACAGTGGGCTAGTGTCCCTTTTTCCCCACATCCTCTCCAGCATCTATTGTTGGTAGATTTCTGAATGTGAGCCATTCTAACCGGGGTGAGGTGAAACCTCATTGTGGTTTTGATTTGCATTTCCCTGATTGCTAGTGATTCTGAACATTTTTTCATGTGTCTGTTGGCCATTTGGATTTCCTCTTTTGAAAAATGTCTATTGAGGTCCTTGGCCCATCTCTTAAGTGGGTTTTTGGTTTTGATGTTGTGGAGTTTCTTGATTTCTTTGTAGATTCTGGTTATTAACCCTTTATCTGTTGCATAGCTTGCAAATATTTTTTCCCATTCTGTCGGCTGCCTCTTTACTTTCCTGACTGTTTCTTTGGCATTACAGAAACTTCTCAATTTGATGCAATCCCAAATGTTAATTTTGGCTTTGACTGTCTGTGCTTCTGGGGTATTTTCCAAGAAGTCTTTGCCGGTACCTATGTCTTGCAGGGTTTCTCCAATGCTCTCTAGTAATTTGATGGTGTTGGGTCATAGATTTAAGTCTTTAATCCATGTTGAGTGAATTTTTGTGTAAGGTGAAAGGTAGGGGTCTTGCTTCATGATTCTGCACGTGGAAATCCAATTTTCCCAGCTCCATTTATTGAAGAGACTGTCCTTGCTCCAGGGATTGGTTTTGGATCCTTGATCAAATATAAGTTGGCTGTAGATGTTTGGGTTGATTTCTGG